AATATATGCAATTTTGTCTATGTGATTGCAAGCCTGATTTATTTTTATAATAAACAAAATGATTCTTGCTATACTCGCATGAAATTCTTCTTCCAAATCTCTAACTCAAAAAACGCAATGCCCTTTCAACATATGAAGTTTTGCCAAAAATTCTTTGATTTTTTTTTTTTTTTTTTTTTTTTTTTTCCTATTTGGTATTCATAAAAGTGGGATTCCTTTATTTCCTTTAACGATAGTTTTCAGTTGTATTTCTAGCATTAAGATAACGAACACTGAATTTTAAAACCAAATTCTGTGGTGATGTCCCTGATTTCTTCCTTTCGGCAATTCTAAAGTAAAATTTGATCCGGAAAGTTTTTCTTTTTTTTTTTCTATTTTTTTTTTTCTTTTCTGAAAGGAAATTTTTTCCGATCCAAATGCGGATGGTGGGAAAATGAAAAGGGGGAAAATTGCTGGGGAAATCAATGGATAATTAGAAAGAAAGAAAGAAAGAAAGAAAGAAAGAAAGAAAGAAAGAAAGAAAGAATAAGAATAAAAGCCAGAAAGACGAAGAAAAGAAGAAGAATTCTCAATAGAACGAAAGATGATGAAAAAAGAAAATTGAGGAAAATAAAAATGAAAGCAAGAACGACCGAAAGAAATATAGAAAGAATGTTTTGAAGAAGAAGAAGAAGAAGAAGAAATTAATGCAGAAAGAAAGAAAGAAAGAAAGAAAGAATAAAAATGAAAGCCAGTAAAGGAGAAGAATTATGGCAAGAACGAAACAGGAAAAAGAAGAAGGAAAAGAAAGAAAAAGAGAAAATATGAGAGAAAGAAGAAGGAAAATAAGAAAAATAGAATAAAAGCAAGAAAACAGAAAGAAAGAAAGAAAGAAAGAAAGAAAGAAAATGAAAGCCAGTAAAGGAGAAGAATTATGGCAAGAACGAAACAGGAAAAAGAAGAATAAAAAGAAAGAAAAAGAGAAAATATGAGAGAAAGAAGAAGGAAAATAAGAAAAAAAGAATAAAAGCAAGAAAACAGAAAGAAAGAAAGAAAGAAAGAAAGAAAGAAAGAAAGAAAGAAAGAAAGAAAATGCAAGCCAGAAAAGGAGAAGAATTATGGCAAGAACGAAACAGGAAAAAGAAGAAGAAAAAGAAAGAAAAAGAGAAAATATGAGAGAAAGAAGAAGGAAAATAAGAAAAAAAGAATAAAAGAAAGAAAGAAAGAAAGAAAGAAAATGAAAGCCAGAAAAGGAGAAGAATTATGGCAAGAACGAAACAGGAAGAAGAAGAAGAAGTATGAAAGATAGAAGAAGGAAAATAAGAAAGAAAGAAAGAAAGAAAGAAACGAAGAGGAATTAAGCAAGAAAAGAAGGATAAAGAAACGATGTTAAATTTGGGATGCGATTTAATATTGTTTTTCTTCTTGATAGGGAAGCACATAGAAAGCCGCAAGTCAGAGAAGAGCAATCAGTAAAAGACGATAAAATTTGATTTGATTTCTTCCGGAAGATTTTTCTTCTTTTTAATCAGATGTGAAACGTAGTTTCACTGCGTTTGAAATTCGCAAAACTCAACACTTGAACGCCTCAAGGCAATTTGACTCGTTGCACCATCAGAATTGCAACTTATTTCTTTGTAGGAAAACAGCTTTTTTTAGGCAGAGATATATTTTTTCAACGCTGGGGCAATATAAAGACATTAGATTGCACACATTCATGGTTTCATGTGTCATGTATACGATAGATAGATAGATAGATAGATAGATAGATAGATAGATAGATAGATAGAGAAAAGAGAGATTGATTGAAATAGTGCGATATGAATAAAACAAATTATGATAGAGATGCAATCATACTGAAATAGATAGATAGAGAGAGAGATTGATTGAGAGAGAGTCAGACAGACAGAGAGACAGAAAGGGAAAGATTGAAGGATTAACATAGATAGATAGATAGAGAGAGAGAGATAGACAGAAAATGACCAGATTAAGATAGATAGATAGATAATGAACAGATTAACACAGATAGAGATAGATAGATTGATAATGAACTGATTAACATAGAGAGAGAGAGATAATGAACAGATTAACATAGAGAGAGAGAGATAATGAACAGATTAACATAGATAAAGATAGATAGATAATGAACAGATTAACATAGATAGAGATAGATAGATTGATAATGAACAGATTAACATAGAGAGAGAGAGATAATGAACAGATTAACATAGAGAGAGAGAGATAATGAACAGATTAACATAGATAAAGATAGATAGATAATGAACAGATTAACATAGATAGAGATAGATAGATTGATAATGAACAGATTAACATAGAGAGAGAGAGATAATGAACAGATTAACATAGATAGAGATAGATAGATTGATAATGAACAGATTAACATAGAGAGAGAGAGATAATGAACAGATTAACATAGAGAGAGAGAGATAATGAACAGATTAACATAGAGAGAGAGAGATAATGAACAGATTAACATAGAGAGAGAGAGATAATGAACAGATTAACATAGATAGAGAGAGAGAGATAATGAACACATTAACATAGATAGAGAGAGAGATAGATAGATAATGAACACATTAACATAAATAGAGATAGATAGATAGGTAATAAACAGATTAACATAGATAGAGAGAGAGAGATAGTGAACAGCTTAACATAGATAAGTTTACATAATCTAATCATATGGTGTAGACAATTTGTCTTTAAAGTTAATTGATAATCAAATGAAATCAGCTAATCATGAGTTTATGTTACGGTTGAAGTAATCCTCCTCATAACTTTGGCTTAAGGCATGCGGGCACTTTTCCGATTAGGTAATAAATTTTCGCCTATTACGTTGGACCTACGTTCTCTCAAGGATGCTTCTTTCCTTGAACGTCCGCAGATCTGAAATGAAACGCATATATACAATACACCTCTAAAGATGCTGGGAAAAGTGTCCGGTCTCTTCCTGCTATGCTCTCGCTTTATTAGTAGGTACCTCCATTCTAAAAAAAAAAAAAAATCAACATACCGTGCTGACAAGACGCTCCAAAAGTAATGAAAACATAGTTTTATCGCCAAAACTGTTATTATTATTAACGATGGATCAAAGTATTTTTTGATTATTTAATTCATTTTTAATCGTTTTCAGAACATTTTAAATATTGATTAAAAAACTTATATTCCTTGCGTCAGCGGTTTTACTAGCTTTTAGCGTAGCAAATTTTCGCCTCTTTTTGGCGGCGACAGACGTTAATTTGGAAATTATTGCAAAAATGAAATAATTGTTGGATTTTAATGAAATTTTCAGAACTTATTCACAAGCCAATGAAATTATTTGTGAATGTGTTTTATTAAAAAATCCTCATAAAAATATATATTTTTTTGTTATTTTACACGTGTTTTTCTGCCTAACGTAATTTTATGAAAGCTTGATAAATTCATCGAGATCATTTTAAGTGACTATATAAGTTAAAATCAAAACTTTTTGAAGAATTTAAATCACCGATTTTTGTTTTTGTCAAATCTGGCCCTGTCGTACCGAAAATCTGTTCTGAATCGAAAATAAAAAAAGCAATAAAAGTAAAAGATTACTTAATTAAAGAAGGTGTCGGCCCGAACACCGGTGTATGTTGATGTTCCCGTCTACTAAACCTGGGCACACAATAGATGGAGCAGGCCCAAACAATAAGCACAAGTTGAGGGCTACGAAGAAAATGTTGTCTTCAGAAGCTGGACCAACGGGCGGGTGTACGCTGTGCACCCCAATCAGCAGGCGTTCTTCTTTCTGTGTCTGCTGCTGCACTCCGTCATCAGTCACAGACCTGCGAAGATATAATACAGAAGTCTGTATGGCCTACAGAGAAGCCTGTGACAAACATAGACTATTGAGAAAGAGGCCCACTGGAACCAGACACTAGAGGTGGCAGAAATCAGCAGAGCAACAAATCAACAGCGTCAGCTATTTTCCATCATGTTGATGACATGTATTTTGGGTGAGCCTCACAAGATTTCGGCGACTCACAAAACCAGCATGGCACGGGATATCCTATGAAGGATTCAAATGCAAACCTCAGTTCAATGTCATGATCAATGACGCCATTTACAATAAGGCATTATTTACACACGTGTGCAATCTCTGAGAGGCCAAGGAATTGCCCCATTTGGCCTACATCAACCAGAGCAGGCAGCAAACAATCTCGCATTTTAGTACAAACGGGAGATCAGCTATGGCACCGTGGAAATGACGGCCTATATAGCTGATAACGAACAGATGGAGGACCAATTGGGTGTTTATAACTGGGTATTATTTCGTGCATTGAAGGCGAAAGAGGGGCTCTATTCTTCCGTGATGCCCCAGGTGGAACTGGAGGGACATTTACCATCAACCTACTTCTGGTTAAACTTCGTCATATTAAACATATTACTCTAGAAGTGGCGTCACGTGGAATAATTGCAACTCGGTTAAGTGGTGACGGCGCAGCTCATTCGTTCTTAAAACAACCCTTTGGACCTGTCCAAGAAAGAGAAGGCAACCTGCAACCTCAGTCGTCCTTCTATAAAAGACAAATTCTTCAGTCATTGCAAACTGATCATCCGGGATGAGGCGACAATAAAGCTTCCTTCGATTTTCTCGACACGGCTCTTTAGAATCTTAGACATAATACACAAGTCATGGGAAATGCAACAGTCCAGTGATACCGAAAGGGATAAGAGTTGACGAGGTAAACGCCAGTATAAAGTCTTCCTACCTGTGGAGTAGTGGGAAAAAGCTGTGACTCACAAGCAATATGAGAGTGAAGCTCAGTGTTGATGAAGAAGCTTATATTTTTCTAAGAAACTATTGAATGTTGGTAATGGCACTTTGATTGGCAAGCAGGATAGCCAGATCACTTTGTCTTTTGGACATATATCTGATTTAAAGGAACTAATAACTAGGGTGTTTCCTAACCTGATGAATCAGTTTACAAACAACAACTGACTGATATATATATATATATATATATATATATATATATATATATATCATTGGGATGGGTTTTTTAGAAACCACCGCCCACCCCAAGAAGATGTGGTATTATGGTGTATGGAGGATTGATTGGCGACGGATGAGTTTTTATGGCGAATGAGGAAATTGTAACGAGTTAATGGGTCGTGATTCCAATTAGCTAGGTATAAGATAGTTAGTGAAGACCAGCCTCAACCCATTACCCCTTTTCGACCTTCGAAATTGATGGGTAGTAATCCACGATATCGAACTGTATTAGGGTGCAATTCGGTTTATCATCAATATAGTTAAATCAATTGATGACATCTTTAGTATTGATCCCTAATACAGTTCGATATCGTGGATTACTACCCATCAATTTCGAAGGATCTATTTACAACTGCCCTGGACTTTGCTGCTGTGTATTCTAACCTGACAAAGGAAGAAACAGATATAATCCTCAGCGCAAAGAAATCGGTTCTCATTCATAATGGGGACCAATGGATAAAAAACAATAACGACCTGTTTGACATCACTATGGGATCATTAGACTCTGCAGAGTCTTCTGACCTTGTCGGTCTTCTGATACTGTACAACTTAACGGCACACCGCGAAATTGATATTAAGGACATCGGACTGTATAGAGATGACGGGCTCATGGTGGTGAGGAGTTCTACTAGTTTTAAGATTGAAAAAATCAGAAAAATTATATTTAGTGAATTTAAAAAACTAAACTTAAAGATAATTGTCTCTTCTAATTTAAAAAGGGTAAACTTCCTCGACGTAACTCTAGACTTACCTGGCAACACATACCAACCTTATAGTAAACCTAATGCTAACCCTTTATATATACACCTGAAGTCAAACCACCTCCATCCATAATTAAACATAAACCCTCATCAATAGAAAATAGAATTAGCATTAACTCCGCTAACAAGGAAATATTCCAACAACACAATGGCTTCTATAACACTGCCCTAAAAAATAGTGGTTATAAAAATGCTAACATTAACTATAGAGACAATTACACTGGCCATAGGAAAAAAAAACAGGAAAAAAAAAAATCATTTGGTATACCCTCCGTTCAACCAAATGGTTAATATTAAACTAGGACAAAAATTCTTAAACCTAATTGATAAACACTTCCCCACCAATAGTAAGCTTAGTAATATATTCAATAAGAACACCCTAAAATTGAGTTACAGCTGCTCTGAAGATCTTGAACGTATAATAAAAAAACACAATAATAAGATCTTGAACAAACCCTCATGCCTAAACAGTATTAATATAGCCTGCACTTAAATCAGACAATAAAAGGGAAAAATTATGTAACTGTAGAAACCTAGAAGACTGCCCATTAGAAAATAAATGCTGCATTAAATCTGTGATATACCCATGTACTATATCATCCACTGAGAGCCCTAGCACTAATAAGATATACATTGGGTCCACGAAGAATGATTTTAAAGATAGATTGAGGCAGCATAAGTGTTCTTTCAATAATATAAACAAAAGAAATCAGACTTCCCTATCTAAATATTTTTGGCATTTGAAGGAAACAAATAGGACACCTAAAGTTAAATGGAAAATTGTTAACAAGGCTAGAACATGTAAAACTTGGGATGACCCTTTATGCCTCCATGAGAAATTGCACATAATTAAGCTTCTAAATAATAATAATCTATTAAACAATAGACACGAGTTAACGGTTTTTTGTGGGCATCATCAGATTTTTGGTTTGAACTATTAGCTAAAAACTAGCATACAATATAATACCTTGTTTAATCCATAGACCATTCATCAGATTCACAGTTTGAATAATTAACTAAAAACATGCATACAATATAACACCCTTCATAATCCATAGCCGAAATAAATAGTTTAAATACCCTAAAAAAAGATAACCCTTTATGAAGTCGTCAAAAAACAAACGTTACGACAGTTTTTTTTATATGCACAAATCCCTTTCATAAAAAATAAAATAAAATAAATAAATAAATCTCCATAGACATGCAAACTAGACGATGGTTAATACATCTTCCGTCTCAAATTTAGACACCCCCACCTTTCCCTGACTTGACATCTACGAATGTAACTCTATACTGATACTTATTATTAACACCCAACACCCGCCTACCCAACTTAAACAATTCGCCCTAGGTGTTACCATGGAAATTTTGATTTCAATTATTAAAACACGTAAATTTCAGAAACACGTTATTCCAAAAAAATGTCGCTTGAAGATGGAACAGAATTTATTTTAACTCAATTTAATTTAAATAATTATATTGAAGTTTTCGGCTCTTGTTTTAAAACATGAGACTTTTATGTCGCGATTTGGAATCATATTTTAAATAAATAATTATATTTATGCTCTACTTTTTATCGAGCACTATTTTTTTTAAAAAATAATAACTAAAATACTAAGGACTTTGGATTATTTACCTCAACCAGTTCCTTCCTATTTTAAATATATATTTTCACATATATATATATATATATATATATATATATATATATATATATATATATATATATAGAGAGAGAGAGAGAGAGAGAGAGAGAAAGAGAGAGTATTTTCTTTTCTTAAGTCTGGCAACGGTCCAGCTTTGGAAAACATATAATAAAGTTGTAAGTTAATCTGGCTGACTGTAGCCAGTCAGAATTTGTAGTTTTTCCC